TGACCACCCCCCCCCCCACCGTCCTTCTCCCCAGGTTGTCCACTTCTGTTGGATTCATTGTGAAAAATGTGTAATTTTTAGGGAATGAGATAGGAAAGATATGTAAGACAAGATTATTTAAAATGGAAGTTCTCAAACATTTGAGTGTGTCACAGTCACCTAGATGGCTGGTTAAAACACAGAGTTGTTGGGCATCATTCCTAGAGTTCCTGGGTGAGTACGAATGGGGTGGGGCCTGAGAATTTGCGTTTCTAACCAGCTGTCAGGTGATGCTAATGCTGCTGGTCCAAGTACCACACTTTGAGAATCACCGTGAGAGGAAGGTGCTTTCTGATCAAGAGTGTTATTGCTAGTTGACAGTAGGATTCAAGGAAACACGAGTGAAGTTACTTCCTGAAGCCATAGCAGCACTTTGGCTTGGCAGTTATCAAAGGAGCCTCCTTTTAAAAGCTTATTTAGGGGCGCCTGGGTGGCTCAGTCGTTAAGCGTCTGCCTTCGTTTCGGGTCATGATCCTGGGGTCCTGGGATCGAGCCCCACATCGGGCTCCCTGCTCGGCGGGAAGCCTGCCTCTCTCTCTCCCACTCCCCCTGCTTGTGTTCCTGCTCTAGCTATCTCTCTCTCTATCAAATAAATAAATAAAATCTTGGAAAAAAAAAAAAAGCTTATTTATAACCCTTAGCCAGGACATAGGAAAGCAGGGGAGCTGTTCTAGTAATCTGTTGTTTTTCCAGTATTCGAGGTAACTAGGGGATCATTGTCATACCAATTTTTAAAAGAAGGAATGTAAAAAAAAAAAAAAAAAATTAAAAAATAAATAAATAAAAAAATAAAAGAAGGAATGTAGATTCCCCCATTTGACCAGGGAATTTAACAATCATAGGGAAGATTCTGATACAGAAAGGGATATGACAGGGGCGCCTGGCTCGCTCAGTCAGTAGAGCATGTGACTCTTGATCTTGGGGTTGTAAGTTTGAGCCCCATGTTGGGTGTAGAGATTATTTATAAAATGAAATCTTTAAAAATAAATAAATAAGAAAGGGATATGATACTGAGAGCCAAAATTAAAACAGGAAAAAAACATGCTTGTTTTGTTTTTTGTTACTTGAATAAATTTCTAGACTTCGTGATACTGTGGCAGGCAAGGCCATCCATAATCCAGCCTTGCATTATCGTTCTGGTCCCCTTTCTCCTCTCTCTCTGAAATGATCCCCTTCTTGCTATGTCCACACACCCACACACCCTCTCCTGCTTTACTTGCAGTTCTCTGAGCAAAACATGCTCTCTTATACCTATGTGCTTTTTTTCATACACTATTCCATCTGTATGGAATGCCTTCCCTCACTCCCTCTTCCTTTTCCACCTGTTTATTTACTGCTTTTCATTTAAGATAACTTTGTGATCCTCTTAGTAGAGATCAGGTGCTTTAGCTCTATGATTCCATAGCATTCATCATTAACCTTTATTATGACATTAATCACTCTATTATCTTTTATCTGTACCAACACCCCCCCCACACACATACACTGTAATTTGATTTTTGCCTTTTTTTAAATCTTTTTTTAACATTCTTTTTATTTAATTAATTAATTTTTTTTTTTTTTTTTTTTTAGAGGGAGAGGGAGTGAGAGAATCCCAAGCAGGCTCCACACCCAGCAATTTGGGGCTTGATCCCACAGCCCTGAGATCATGACCTGAGCCAAAATCAAGAGTCAGACGCTCAGTAGACTGAGCCACCCAGGCGCCCCTACCTTTTTTAAATCTTTGAGTCTTTAGCATTATATATGGTTCCTGGAACATAATAGGTATTTAATGCATGTTGAATCATCAGTCATTCTGAAAAATGTTGTCAACATAATGCAGTAATGGAGTTCCAGTCTTAGGTCCAAATCTCTGCTTCATTAACTACTTAGAGCATGACCTTGGGCAAGTTGTTTAAACTCTTTGAGCCTCAACTTGTACTAAGTATTCATTCCCTAATACATAGTAGGTGCTCAAATGGCAGCTACTGTTTTACTATATTTGCATCTTAGAAGACTGTTTTAACAGTCTTGCAGTATCTCTGTGGTCAAGATGGGGAATTTTGGACTATGTGATATAATTAATTCAGAAGTGGTGAAACTTACATTTTTATAAGGCTTTCTCTAGGGGCATGCTCCATGGCTCGATTTCTTTGTCCTGAGCTTTTCAATATTTTAAGAACAGCGCAGCTGAGGATGTTGATGGCATGGTGATCCTTGCTTAGAAGGAGAATTTCTTTTGCTAATTAGGATCCTAGAAGTTCTTGACTGATTGGTAGACAAAGTGATATTTTTGAAGGAATTGATGTAAATTATTCAGCTGGGATCAAAACGTTCAATTATATAAATTCAAATTGGAAGTGGGAGAGGAATGGAAAAGAAGGTAATGGTTCAAAATCAGTGTGTGAGGGGAGTTGGAATTTTGATTAAACCAGGCCCAATATAAATAATGTGTGATGTAACTACCAGCAAAGCCTGTGTGATATTAGACTGCATCAGAGGGAGAGTAGTATCTAGAACATGGGAAGGCATTAATCTGTTCCATCCTGGCTCATCATACCACCTGAGAAGTACTGTAGCCCATTCTGGACACCACTTCTGAGAGGCATATTGATAGGAGGGAGGCCAGACAGACTGAAGACTGTGACTGAGACTGAAGACTGAGACTGCTTCAAAGAAGAACGTGTGGAAAAAACCATAGCTTTGAGAAAGAAAGCCTGCGGGGTGGGGGTGGGAGGTGTATTAGATGTCTTTGGACATTGGAAGGAGGCTTGCTTAGGCTTCTTCTGAACAGCCACAAAGCCCAGAACTAGAACCAGAGGGTGGAAATTATAAAGAAGCACATTTCTAGTTAAAACAAGGGGAAACACTGTTCATAGTCAGGGTGGTAGAGCCCCTCTTAGTCATTGGAGGGGTTGGGGGAGTACTTGTACCAATGGGGATGTTATTACATGGGGGTGTCACTAATATAGTGTAGGTGTTGAATTAACAGAGATTCTGTAAACCAAGGAGAAAGTTCTTAACTCTGTTTTGTTTACACTATACATTCCTAAATAGAATGTTTGGCACTATACCTGAAAGATTTAGAAGTAAAATCTTTTTCAGAGAAGTAAGTTGCAAAAAGAAAAAAATTCTGCAGTTATCATCACCCTCTCCATTTGTCTTCCCTACAAAGTTATTATCTACTGCGTCTCCCCTATTTTCTTAAATACACACCAAGCTAAGTTTTCCTAAGTTTGGCTAGAGACTCCACTAGGCCTTTTCCCTTATTTGCAGCAGCAGGGTTCGTGTTGTTTGTGATCACTCAAGCAAACATTGTGTCTGAAATACAGAATGGTAACAGAATGTATCCTCAGTTGTAGCAAAATGTCCCACAAGGCTGGTAATTTGGTGGTACACCTTTGAAGCGTTTACAGGATGTCTTAAGTGCTACAGCATACTGTAGATGGACCACCAGATAGCAATGATTCTTGGCGGGGGGGGGGAAGAACTGAGGAGAATGGGAAATAAATTAAGAGATCAGAAGATGATTCTAGAGAGATGTACCTGCTTCCTGTTTTCCCTAACACTGCTTTCCCCAGATGTGGAGACAAACTGCCCTACTCTGAGGAACTCCTTCCTGTTAGAACCATAGGGCTCTTAATTGTGACCTGCTTTCATTAGCCTTTCTTTCCTCTACCTCTTCATCCCTCTCAGTGGAATTTGGTATCCTTTTGTGTTTCCCTAAGGCAATTCCCTTTGGGTTTAATTTCAAGATTAGAACTAGTGTAAATTGTGTGTGTGGCATTGTAAAATAAAGCATACACACACAAAATATATTATTGGGGAGCCAAATCTCTAAGCCCCTGATTAGTGAGTTAAAAGTGTCAAATAACTATTGCAGTATTTGCTTTATATGTGTGTATATATATATATTTGTTTGCCGCAAATACTTAGGCCCACCATGAGGACACACATTGATAAATGAAGGTATGGGGGAAGATGGGGAGAAAGAAGGAAATAGGAAACTTTTACATGTAAATAAAAAGTATTTTTAAAAATAATTTTTTGTGGGGCTCCTGGGTGGCTCAGTTAGTTAAGCATCCGACTTGATTTTGGCTCAGGTCATGATTTCAGGGTCATGAGATGGGAGCCCCACATTGGGCTCCGTGCTCAGTGGGGAGTCTGCTTAAGATTTTCTCTCTCCCTCTGCCCCTCCCCCTGCTTGCATGCACGTGTATGTGCGCACGCTCTCTCAAATAAATAGATAAATCTTTGGAAAAAAATAATTTTTTATTACCTGTATTTGATCGCCTGCCTTCTGGGATTGTGAAAGGTTAATACATTTGGCTATCCATAAGGAGAAAAGTTCAATTTCATTTGAAGTGTTCCCTCATTGAAAACATCAGTTTGTACCATCCAAGAGGACTTCTTATTTCAGTTATTATCTGAATTTAAAATTTGTTTATATGTATGTTGTATTTATTTCTACTTTATATACATACATAACATAATAATTGTAGAGTTTTTAAAGCATATAGAATACTTATGTTATTTTAGCAGGTTTTTTTTTTTAAGATTTTATTTATTTATTTGAGAGAGAGCACGAGCAGAGGTGAGGGTCAGGGGAGAGGGAGAAGCAGACTCCTCGCTGAGCAGAGAGCCAGATGTGGGGCTTGATTCCAGGACCCTGAGATCATGACCTGAGCCAAAGGCAGATGCTAAACCGACTGAGCCACCCAGGGGTCTCTGTTTAAGCAGTTTAAAAATGAGGTACTTTTAGACTTAACGAAAATTATTCTCAAAATTGTTTTTCATATGTACAGGGTGCCAGGTGAGGGATTTGACTACAGCCATTGTGCTGTTTTGTTTTCTGTCCCTAGCGTTCATGCTCTGTGCATGAACCTATGAAGGAATTTGGGGTTTGCTTTAGAGCTAATGTAGTATGCATATGTGTGACATATTTTTATTTCAATTATTGTTTCACTTTTTAAAATTTTCAGCATGTTGGAACAGGATTCCAGGAGAAAGAATCCTAGTGTGAACCCTGCAAATCAAAGGAGGCATCTTCTAGAATTTTCTGCTAAAGAGGTGGAAGATACGTCAGATGGTATCATCCAGAAAAACAGCTACAGGTTAGAAGATGGCATGTCTCTGTCTGTTAAAATGATTTAATGAAACTGCCGTGGGGAATTATATAGTATAACTTTACATCTAACTTGTTAATGCACAGTTTTAATTTGTAGAACAAACAAGTTATTGAGGCCCTTAGTAAATTTTACTGTTAAGATCAGTTCTAAGAATAAATTTCCTTTTGAAACCTTTCCCAATTTTGGAATTCTTATAGAGATGTGACCTTAAAATCTCAGTTTGTATGTACTGAGATACATATGGAGGCACATACAATATACACACATTATATTATACATAATGTTTTTAATGTAGGTTTTTATCTGTCATATGGTTACATGTATATAGTATATGTAATAGTATCATCTTGGGATGAATATGATCTGGTGGAGTGATATGGGTGAACCTCTGTGCAGTCATTTGATCAGATCGTTTATACTTACTTATTGTGATCTTTGTTGGATCTCCCTCCCTTGTTATGGTTTATCATTCTCCTGGTAAATTTCTATATAGCTTGGCAATAGTAAAAGACTTAAAATTTTTTGAAAAGACAAGGTCTGTATTATGTAAACTAGAAGAAGGCTGTAGTGGACATTTTCAGAGCTGTATACTTTTTGATAAACATTTCCCTGTGTTATTTGGAATTTTTATTAGAGCCAAGTGGAGTGAGGTCCTTGACTCACAAAGCAAAGGGAGCTCACAGTGTGGCAACAATGTATTGCACAATATAACCCTTGAGAATCATTAAAGATTTGTTTACTTGTAACTCTGTAAGGTTCTACAGGCCAAGGGCCACAGGGGAATCTTTTTTTTTTTTTTTTTTTTTTTTACTGTGACAGCCATATCACTGAATGAAATTATCACCATAGTCCTGTGGGCTTGTCTCCATTTAGCCTTCCTGGAAAAAATATGCTAGTATTCATTATTTTAGGAATCTACAGTGGGTAAAGTACTATGTTAAGTGTGGCGGAGGATCCAGAGAATTATGTGGCAGTAAGTGTAATGAGTACAATGTGATGCATGCCATAATATTGGAAACTGTAATAATATATATAACATTTCTTGCTTTTTTTTTTTACTTGCCAAAATTAGCCATACTTCTGAATACTGATCTTAGTGCTCACTTAATGGTGTCTTTGAATATTGCTAGAGTTAAATAGTATCTTTCATTTTACTACATCATTTGTCCAAGTTTGCCCTACATGTTCTGCATGTAATTTTGAGTTCTGTTGTCCACATGAGATCCATCAAAACTTACATTTTAAATTTGAGAGTCTTTGGATTTATGAGAGTTGAGAATGTGCCTTTTGGGTACATATTTGCTGGTTGTTAAAAAGTAGAACTAATTATTGAACTTGAAACAAGTAGAACTTGAAATTATAGTTCAGGTAACCTTTACAAGAATATTACTTATTTTGTACTAACCTCAGTAAATAGACGCTTTCACCTATTTGTCTGTGGTAGAGTAAGGTAACGTGGAAAGCATAGTGCTCTGATCATCCTAGTTCAACCTAGATGTTTGAATGACCTTCAGGCTGTAATTTATCAGCTTTCAAAGTAGTGTATGAAATGCAAGCCATTCGCCGTTCCCCACCCCAGAGTCACCATTGCCTGTGCTTTGTTACTGGTATTGGTAAAACATGGAAAGGATTATGGATTCTTGCCTGCATGCAAATCTCTTGAAATATCTAAAATTATTATTGAGCAGCTTGAGAGATGCAAGTAGGTATCAGTCCACCAACTTGATATTCTTGCTTTTATCATTATAAATACTGAATAAAAGATACCAAGTGTTTGTGCAGCATTTGAAAGCAGCAAATACAAATGTGTTTTGAACTGCATTTTAGTTGGTTTACTTAGACACAGCCATGACACTTTGTTTATTTTTTAATGCAGCTTACTTTTTATTATGTTTCAGTTTTTAGGAGAATTATGAGAACTGGTTCAAATAAAAAAGGAGTAGGTTGTAATCCCATAATTTATAACATTGCATTCTCTTAGCATTTAGTAATTAAATGCATATATGTTTTCAGTTTTAGAAATGTATAGTTTATAATAAGATGACCATATAATTTGTCAACCAAACTGGGATACTCTTTAGAATGGAAGGTAGTGTTAAGTAATAATTACATCAGGACATCAGGCATAAATCCAGGACCGTCTTGGATAAAAGAGAAGGAATGGTTTCCCTTCGTAGAAGGCATCAGCCAGAACCTGTCTTTATTCCAGGGATTCTCATTAACTCTACCTCCCTAGCACTGCCCTTTACTTTAGTGATTTATTTGCTCAAGCGGTGGCTATTGATATGAAATAGTTTGCAAGCAGCTTAGGACTCCGACCATCTCAGGATTAGTGTGGATCTGATTGTCTCCAGATTGCATGTTGGCTTAGATTCTCCCTTTTCTTTTCCCTTCAGCTCCACCCAGTTCCTTTCCTGGTATTTCTCCTATCAGATTTTTTTTCCTTTTCCGAAGAATATTTTTGGCTGATAGAACAAAGCCAGTTAGAACAGCTATGCAGAAGTCATTATACTAGAGTTTATCATGTGGAAATAAAATTATAGATCAAAAATATATCTTCAGAAGTAATTTTAGATTTCTCTGATGGATAATAGCATTTATATTTTTGTAAGTATGAAGGCCTGATTTTTTAGACTAAGGCACATGTGACAGGTCTTTGGTTTTTGTTGTTGTTGTTGTTGTTTTTAAGTTGTAGTGAACAGCCTCCTCTTGTAGGCATTTAGAATTTACCCATACAAGGGAGAGGTTTTTTTTTCTTTTCTCTCAACAGTTAATTTTAGGGTGATTTCTGTGCAGTTACTACCTGTGCACCACCATCTCTGTGTTATTCCAAACAGTTTAACTCTCAGAGGCAGAGGAGGAGACATGGAGAATGTTCTGGTGCAACTTGCAGGGAAGAATGATGTGTATATCCTCTGCTGTTGCTTTTTTCCCCATGGTGTGTGGTATACAGAGAAGCCTGTAACTTTTCTCTTAAAGTTAGTTTTTCAGTCTGCCAAAATTATTTTTGTCAAGGAGGCCAGTTATTTCAGTGTTGACAAATTCAGTGGAAACTTCTGTCTTTATCTTGATCTTTCCTCAGCATCTGGCTGTGTGGATCCCTCCTTCCTTGAAACATTCTCCTTTGTGTTGCTACATTTTTCAGTTTCCTTCTTTTTCACGGGCCTCTGTTTCAGTCATCTTTCTGGGCTCCTCCTTTATTCAAATCTCATCGTCTGGAACTGTGGACTTTTTAGTTTTCTTTCTGCTTATGTGACTCATCTGTAATTTAGCACACAATCCCTATCTCTGTATCCTGACAACTCCCAAATTTATGTTTCCCATCCAGACTTCTCTTCTGAGTCTCCAGGCTGCTCTACCCCAATAGTTTTCTTGACGTTTCTTTTTTTTTTTTTTTAACATTTTAAACTTAACACATGCATGGCGGAACTCTAGGTGCCTTTTTGTGTTCATCCTCCAGCCTCTTCTCCACAACAGTCTTCCTCATCCTGTTGCTTAGCCAGAAACCCTGATTCCTCCCTTTCAACAAGTACCATTGATATTCTTCCCAAAAAGTGTCTTGCACTGGTTCATGCTCTCCATCTTCGCTGCCAGCACCTTAGTCCTGCTGTCTTCAGCTCTTGCCTGGATTATAGCTCTCTCCTGACTGGTCTCCCAGCTTCCCCTGTGGCCTCCACTGGATCCATTTTTGGTACAATGGCAGGGTGCAGGCATACACTGAAATATATCACTTCTCTCCTTAAGTAATGCCTTATCATAATCTGGTCTCTCTTTTTTTTTTTAAGATTTTATTTCTTCATTTGAGAGAGAGAGACAGAGAGGACGAGCAGGCAGAAGGGCAGAGGGAAAGGGAGAGGGGAAGCAGACTCCCCATTGAGCAGGGAGCTGACATGGGGCTCCATCCCAGGACCCTGAGGTCATGACCTGAGCTGAAGTCAGACGCTTAACCAGCTGAACCACCCAGGCGCCCCCTGGTTTCTGTCTTTCTAACCTTGTCTTGTGCTTCCCTCACTTGCTCACAACTCTTCAGCTGGTGAGTGGTCTTCTTTAAGTTCCTGAAGACGGCCATCTCCCCACCTGCATCTGTCCAGAACACTCTTTCCCAAGTTTCTGTAGTACTGGCTTCTTCTCATCCTTTAGGCCTTGACTTAAATACCATCTCCTCAGACCATTTTATCTAGGGACTGCCATTGGTTTTCTATTTCTAGTTAGATTCTTTCTTAATTTGGATTTATTTTATGTGTTTGTTCTCATATTTGGTCCATCTTCCTCCTTAAGGTCTTTGAGCATAGAGACTTCATTTTTCTTGCTCCCCATTGGATTCCTAGCATTGTACCTGGCACAGTTGGTATTGGTTGAATGAATTAATGAAAACTGTGAATTTAGCCATGTCTGATTTTGTGTTTACATTTTTTCTTCTTGGGTTTTAGCTAAATATCTAGTTTTCTAAATCTAGAGCATTGAATATAAAGAAATTCAAGATAGATCTAAGATTTTTTAATGAGAAAGGTTAAAATAGCAGACTGAAGAGACTAAATAGCAGTAATGCCCCCAGCTCCACTTCTGATTTTCAGCCTAGGTTCTGCTCCCTCCATCACACCATGGGTATGAATTCAGTGTGACGGTTAGGAAAGTATATTTTGAAGCTAATGGAGTAACTGGTTAATATTACTTTGGTGTTTTATTAGTGACTTGGATTCTTCCATGATTCTAAAATTTATATTCAACTTTTCAACACTTTTCACTTCTCTCTCACCGAGTGTTTTATGCTTCTCCTTACCCCTGCCACACACAGTTTTAAGGAAACTTCAGTTTTGTTATCACAGAATTGTGAATGACCACAAAACTTTAGACTGTTCACATAATAATACTGTCTTTCCTATCAGTCAGTGGGTCCTTCTCCCCAAATCCCCCCATTACTGTGTCACCTCTGTTCCAGCAGCACTGTGTATGCCTCGAGCTCACTGAAGACACAGACCATGTGTTAGCATCGTTTCCTTAGTTTGGGGCACATAGTAATTGCTCAATAAATGGTGGCTAGATAAATGTGAATTACCATGACAATCTGCAGAAAATTGGAAAGTGACATTTGTGCTACATGGTCTCTGTCTATACTTCCCTCTTTTTCTGTTGCATTTGCTTCTCTCTTGTGGTATATTCCATTTACTATATTTTTATTTCCCTAAAAAGTTAATACTAGTAATGATTTTCTTGTAGCAAACTAAGGAATTTAAGACACAAGGAGACGGATTTTGTGCATATGTTTTTCAGATATGATCATTCTGTTTCAAATGACAAGGCCCTCATGGTGCTAAGTGAAGAACCATTACTCTATATTCCTCCACCTCCTTGTCAGCCCCTGATTAACACCACAGAATCTCTCAGGTGAGTGTTGTAGATTGTTACACAAATATCAGAGTGGGTTCTTGGGTTTAGCTTTGGAACCTAGAAAACTATTTGTTCAGATTAGTTAAGTGACTGAGAGAAGCTCTGATTATTTGTTGGATGATCATAGGCATATCAGTTGTTGTCCAGTTTCCCCACCAACCTGATAAAGATGGTGATGGGTCTATTTCGCATGATAGTATTGGGGTTGCATACTTAAATATGCCTTATTTGAAAACTACAGAATGAGACTAATATGAAAATTTAGGATGTTAGATTTGAGAAGTGGTAACATTCATAGCAGAAGGTGCCTTTTCTTCAAGTTAGGAGATAACAGTTTGAAGAGAAGTGATTCTGGAGATATTTTCCCATTAGGGCACACCTTACCTTTCCTTATTTACTTTTCCCTTGAATATTTTCCTGTGATTTTGGATTCTATTCTTGAACTTCAAAAATTGCTTCAGTTTTTTTAAGTAGTAATCAACTCTAGTTAAGTAAGCATGGTCTGACATCTTCACAACTGCTATAAAAAGTAAGCACAATAAATGGAACCTACATTTGAACTAGTCCTTTTTTTTTATTTGCAGTGTTGGAAATTTTGGTTATAGTGCATTGAAATTTATTTCTTTCCTTTTTTTTTTTCCCCTGAGCAATTGAGTTCATTCTTTTCCTTCTCCCAAAAGAGCATGATTTTCAAAGGCTTTAATGCATTCATTTGCCGGTAGGATCCTGTAATTTACTAAATGCTCTTCATTGTCTCCAGTGTTTGTGTGTATGTAGCCCAAGAGCAGAAACAGGAAGTACTCTTGTGAAAAAAACCTTTGCATTCAGTTTTTATATTTAGAAGGTATTTAGTTACGTTTTCTTTTTTTTTTAAATCTGAACTCATGATTGAGGAGGCTACTATATAAAAATGCATGTTGTATTAAAAATAACATTAGTATCTTAGCTTTTTCAAATCAAAAAGGAATATTGAATCATCAGGCACTAGGGATGCTATTTGGAACTTACAGAATGTGATTAAATTCATTTTTAACCAAAGGTGAGACATTTATTTCTCTGAAGTATGCTTAATTAACTAAGCTGTTTTATAGGTTAAATCATGAACTTCGAGGATGGGTTCACAGGCATGAAGTGGAAAGGACCAAGTCAAGAAGAATGACGAATAATCAGCAGAAAACCCGTATTCTTCAGGTTTGTTTCTGCGTGTCTTTGAACAATGGTTGACATATTGGCTGGCCATCTTCCCTCAGATGGGTTGCTTTCGTCCATGAAAAACTTGGGACACTTGAACTTTCAGTCACTTCCCACTGCCTTTTCTGCGGCTCTGGTGCAGCCGTCGCTGCCACTGAAGCCCTCGTCCCAGGTGTTAGAGCGCCAGTAGTTCTCGCTTGGGCCTGGTGCTCCTTCCTGCTCTCTCCCCCAGCTTTACTTTCAAGCCAGGGGTTCCTGTGCATGGACATCTGTGTCAAATGTTTTTGGCACAGATGGTGTGGTAAATGGTACTGTTTATCTCCTCTGTTCTTAGAGCTTTTCAGAAAGAAGGTTTTGAAACATAGCACAGCTTGGAAATGGAGGCACATCTTCCTGGAGAGCATTTTTGAACTTAGACATGTGGGTCTGGCTATAGGTTAATGACAACTCTAATTTAGAACCTATTGAGCTGGGCTTCCATCTTTTTTTTTTTTTTTTTTAGGATTTTATTTTTAAGTAATCTCTACACCCAGTGTGGGGCTTGAATTTAGAACCCTGAGATCAAGAGTCACATGCTCTACCTACTGAGCCAATCAGGCGCCCCAGTTGGGCTTCCATTTTAATGTTTACCACATAGCACCGTTTGTAGTCATTCCATCATCCATCAGATATTCATTATTACTTTTGAAGCACTTAGACTAGGAACTGGCACATTCTAAGCTCCCAACAAACATTACCTATGGTAGTAATAATGAGTCAGGTATGGTTCTAAATCCTGGGAATATAGTCGTGAGTGCGATAAAATCCCTGCCTTCATGGAACTTACATTCTGGTGGGATAGATAAGCAATAAACAAGTAAAGTGAAAGACAAATACCATATGATCTCCCTTATATGTGGAATCAATTTAAAAAATACAACTAAAACAAAAACTGAACTTTTTTTTTTTTTTTTTTTAACATTTTAAACTTAACA